GGAGGAGGAGGGGGAGGGGGAGGACATTGACAGTGAGCTTGCTTCCTGCCCGGCTGACCTCCAGCTCATTCTCATGACTCACATTGGGCAGCTACCTGGCATCAGGTGAGATGTGGACCAGCGGCTTGAAGGTCTCCTGCAGGTACAGCTCTGTCAACATGGAGGTCAGTGTCATTAGAACATCAGGTTCCTCTGCTCAGACTGTGATGAGAACATGCTCGTACCTCTCCACGTCTCGATCTTGTGCTCCTCCAGCTCGTAGATCTGCACCTGAAGGAGAGAGATGAGATCAGAGCAGCACCAGCATCACCACCACGAGGTCCTGATGTTCTCCATCAGCCTCTGGATGTGTTCAGTAGAAGAACCTGGAACCAGTGTGTGTGTGTGTGTGTGTGTGTGTGTGTGTGTGTGTTACCATGGGGGATTTGTAGTATCTGGTCAGGATGTTGATGAAGTCTGTGATTGTCAACATTCCTGAAGCAGAAACAGATTTGTGACTAACAAATATCACGACAATATGCGTGTTTTCCCATTGATCTCGATCAATAGTTGTGATCAGTAACACGTATTGAACACCATTGCTGAGGCAGGAACACACTGAGCATGTCTGTTAGTGTTCAAGGTCATCTTACCCACAAAGCTCTGCTTCTTGCTCTCCCACAGAGGAGCCGCTCGCACGCCGTTCGCCACCAGAGCGAAGAATGCCTTCTTCACCTGGAACCGCAAACACAGCACGATCAATAATCAATAATCAATAACAATGCCTTCTTCACCTGGAACTGTAAACACAGCACGATCAGTAGCCAATAATCAACAATCAATAACGATGCATTCAGGTATCATACACAGCCCTGCAGGCGTCTGATGCTCAGCTCATCCAGGTGTCTGTACCTGCAGCCGGACAGGTGAGGCTCACCTGCAGCGTGGTGTCGAACACCACCAGTTTGGAGCTGGTGGGGATGATGTCGTAGCACTTGTGACACTTCATGAAGCGCATGTAGATGTCTCTCTCCGACTCCAGCGACCCTGAACACAGTTCATCAGGCAGTCAGGCTTCCTGCTGGTTCACCGCTCAACGTCACCACTTCTCCCTGTGGGGGCCTCACAGCCTCACCGCTGATACACCTGAGGA